GACCCAGTACATTGCAAAAACTCAACAAACAGGAGCTGGTTTTGTTGTAGTTATTATTATAGTTATTTTTATTATTTTTTTCCATAGGTTATTGGGATACAGGTGGTATTTGGTTACATGAGTAAGTTCTTCAGTGGTGATTTGTGAGATTTTGGTACACACATCACCCGAGCAGTATACACTGTACCATATTTGTAGTCTTTTATCCCTCGCCTCCCTCCCACCCTTCCCCCAAGTTCCCAAAGTCCACTTTATCGTTCTTATGCCTGTATATCCTCATAACTTAGTTCCCACGTATTAATGAGAACATGCGATGTTTGATTTTCCATTCCTGAATTACCTCACTTAGGATAAAGTCTCCAGTCTCATCAAGGTCGCTGCAAATGCCATTAATTCATTCCTTTTTATGACTGAGTAGTATTCCATTGTGAATACCTACTACAGTTTCTTCACCCATTCACTGATGGGCATTTGGGTTGCTTCCATGATTTTGCAATTGCAAATTGTGCTACTATAAACATGTGTGTGCAAGTATCTTTTTCATATAATGACTTCTTTTCCTCTGGGTAGTTACCCAGTAGAGGGATTGCTGGATCAAATGGTAGTTCTACTTTTAGTTCTTTAAGGAATTTCCACACTATTTTCCATAGTGGCTGTACTCATTTACATTCCCACCAGCTGTGCAGATGTGGTCTCTGTTCACTGCATCCATGCCAACATCTATTGTTTTTTGATTTTATGATTATGGCCATTCTTGCAGTAGTAAGGTGGTAACACATTGTGGTTTTGATTTGCATTTCCCTGATCATTAGTGACATTGAGGATTTTTTCATATGTTTCTTGGCCATTTGTATATCTTCTTTTGAGAATTGTCTATTCATTTCGTTAGCCCACTTTTTGATGGGATTGTTTGTTTTGTTCTTACAGATGTGTTTGAGTTCACTGTAGATTCTGGATATTAGTTCTTTGTCAGATGTATAGATTGTGAAAATTTTCTCCCACTCTGTGGGCTGTTTACTCTGCTGATGGGTCCTTTTGCCATGCAAAAGCTCTTTAGTTTAATTAGGTCCCAACTATTTATCTTTGTTTTTATTGCATTTGTTTTTGGGTCCTTGGTCATGAAACTCTCGCCTAAGCCAATGTCTAGAAGGGTTTTTTCAATATTATCTTCCAGAATTTTTATAGTTTCAGGTCTTAGATTTAAGTCCTTAATCCATCTTGACTTGATTTTTGTATTAAGATGAGAGACGAGGATCCAGTTTCATTCTTCTACGTGTAGCTAATTATCCCAGCACCGTTTCTGAAAAGGGTGTCCTTTCCCCCAGTTTATGTTTTTGTTTGCTTTGTCAAAGATCAGTTGGCTGTAAGTATTTGGATTTATTTCTAGGCTCTCTATTCTGTTCCATTGGTCTATGTGCCTATTTTTAAACCAGTACCATGCTGTTTTGGTGACTATGGTCTTACAGTATAGCTTGAAATCAGGTAGTGTGATGCCCCCAGATTTATTCTTTTTGTTTAGTCTTGCTTTGGCTATGCAGGCACTTTTTTTAGTTCCATGTCAATTTTAGAATTGTTTTTCCTAGTTCTGTGAAAAATGATGGTGGTATTTTGATGGGGATTGCCTTGAATTTGTAGAATGTTTTTGGTAGTATGGTCATTTTCACAATATTGATACTACCCATCCATAAGCATGAGATGTGTTTTCATTTGTTTTTGTCATCTGTGATTTCTTTCAGGAGTGTTTTGTAGTTTTCCTAATAGAGGTCTTTTGCCTCCTTGGTTAGGTATATTCCTAAGTATTTTACCTTTTTTGCTGATGCTTAATATCACTAGATAAACATGTTTGGCTGAAAATTGTTTTGTTTGAGAAGGCTGAAGATAGGGCCCCAATCCCTTTTAGCTTGTAGATTTCTCTGCTGAGAAATCTGCTGTTAATCTGATGAGTTTGCCTTTATAGGTTGCCTGGTGGTTTTGTGTCACAGCTCTTAAAATTCTTTTCTTTGTCTTAACTTTAGATAACCCTGATGACAATGTGCCTAGGTGATTATCTTTTGCAATGAATTTCCCAGGTGTTCTTTGTGCTTCTTATATTTGGATATTTAGGTCTTTAGCAAGACTGGGGAAGATTTCCTTGATTATTCCCAGAGAATATTCTCTTCTTCCTCAGGAACACCAATTATTGTTAGGTTTGGTCATTTAACATAATCCCACACTTCTTGGAGGCTTTGTTCATATTTTCTTATTCTTTTTTCTTTGTCTTTGTTGGATTGAGTTAATTTGAAGACCTGTCTTTGAACTCTGAATTTCTTTCTTCTACTTGTTCAATTCTATTGTAAGACTTTCCAGAGCATTTTGTATTTCTATCCAGTATTCAATGTTGCCTATCAGTGTGTTCAATGTTGCCTGAAGTTTTGATTTTTTTTTTAATGCCATCTATTTCCTCTAGTATTTCTCCCTTCACTTCTTGTATTATTTTTTTATTTCCTTGCATTGGACTTCACCTTTCTCTGGTGCCTCCCTGATTAGATTAATAACTAACCTCCTGAATTCTTTTTTAGATAAATCAGGGATTTCTTCTTAGTTTGGATCCATTACTGGTGAGCTAGTGTGGGGTGGTGGGGTGGGGGGGTGGGAGTTGAAGAGCCCTGTTTTGTCATATTACCAGAGTTGGTTTTCTGGTTCCTTCTCATTTGGGTAGGCTCCGTCAGAGGGAAGGTCTAGGGCTGAAGGCTGTTGTTCAGATTCTTTTGTTCCACACTGTGTTCCCTTGATGTAGTACTCTCCCCCTTTTCCTATGGATGTGGCTTCCTGCGAGCCAAGCTGCAGTGATATCTTTCTTCCGAGTCTAGCCACCCAGCAAGTCTGCCCGGCTCCAGGCTGGTACTGGGGGTTGTCTGCACAGAGTCCTGTGATGTGAACCGTCTGTGGGTCTCAGTCATGGATACCAGCGCCTGTTTTGGTGGAGGTGGCAGGGGTATGAAATGGACTCTGTGAGGATGTTTAGCTTTGGTGGTTTAATGTTCTATTTTTGTATTGGTTGGCCTTCTGCCAGGAGCTGGTGCTTTCCAGAGAGCATCAGTTGTGGTAGTCTGGAAAGGAACTGGTCGTGGTGGGGTTCTAGAACTCCCAAGAGTATATGTTCTCTGTTTTCAGCTATTAGGGTGGATAGGGAAGCTCCATCGAGGGGCAGGGCTAGGTGTGTCTGAGCTCTGACTTTCCTTGGGTGGACCTTGTTATGGCTGCTGTGTGGGATGGGAGTGAGGTTCCCATGTCAATAGAGTTGTGTACCTAGGAGGATTACGGCTGCCTCTACTGAGTCATGCAGGTGGTCAGGAAAGTGGGGGAAAGCCAGCAGTCACAGGCCTCACCCAGCTCCCAAACAATCTGAAGGGCCAGTCTCACTCCCACCATGCCCCTGCTAACAGCCCTGAGTCTGTTTCCAGGCAGTGGGCGAGCAGGGCTTGAGAACTTGCCCCAGGTTACCCACCTCCCAACCGTGAAAGAACAGGGCTTTGGTTCTTCCCCTACCTGTGGAGTCTGCACACTGGATTTGCACCCTTCCCTGACTTCTGGCCAGGAAGCTTCTTGCCCTCTTCAAGTTGTTACAAATTTCAGCTGGAGACTTCCTTCTCCCTGTGGCATTTTCCCCCACACCTCTGGCCACTCTCCCGAAGGGCTCCTGTGGTGCCAGGCAGGAATAGCCTGCTTGGGGATCCAGCAAGATCCCAGGGCCTTTCCCACTGCTTTCTCTACCCCTGTATTTCTCTTGGCTCTCTAAATTGACTCAACTCCAGGTAAGGTCAGAAACTTCTCCCACAAACTACGCCTCCATTTTCCCCAGTAGGGATATGTGTTTCATAGCGGAGGGTCTCCCTTTCCCATTTCCGCAGTTTGGGTGCTCACAGTATTTGGGGTGTCTCCCGGTTCTGCAGGGGCAGTCCACTTCCTTCAGAGGGTCTGTGTGTCCTCTCAGGATTCCTGGTTTGTTCTTGAAGTCATTTTGGCACTAAAATTCACCCTGCAAGCCTCCGCATGCTGCTCTGTCCATCCGAGTCACAGCTGCAATCTAGTCTTGCCTCCCATCCACCAGGATGATCCTGAATGAAGTCTAATTATTGTTTTTTATTCAACAGACCCTAACATAGGACTTGTTCTATGCTAAGCAATGTGCTAAGCTATGAAAGTTAGAGGGAAAGACACAAATTCAGGAAGAAAAAGGAATAAAACACTTTCCTTGCTTCCTAAAAGCCCATAGTCCAACAGGGACATCACATGTGGTGGTCTGAAAGCATATCCACCTTAAAGATGACTCTAGTCTCAGCTCCTGTCCAACTGCAACCTCATAAGACACCCTGAGCAAAAACCACCCAGCTGAGCCCAATCAACTCCCAGAACTGTAGAGATAGCAATAATAATGACAAACAACTGCCGTTGTTTTATGCCACTAAATTTGGGGTGGCTTGTTTCCCAGCCATACATAACTAGGACATAGGGGTATCCTGTGTATCCATGTATCTAAACGCCAGATAGAAAATGATGAGTTTAAGAGAGGGACAGAGAATTAGATGTAGAGTTCCTAGAGAGTCTAAACAGCCCACCTACACCTTTTAGCATTTCCAGACAAGCATCAAGCCCCAGTCCCCTGAGCCTCTCTAACTTCAGGGATACATATTGTGTTGCATGAGTGTTTTGTTGAAGCCCTGCACTCTTAAGATAACATGGGAGAAGCACTTCCCTCTTTCCTCTTTGTAATTCCTTCTCAGTCCCCACCTCTCACCACTTTTCAGTCCTCTTTCACATAAGTAAAGCATTTAAGAATCATTAAGAATCAAACCTGTTCTTGACAACCTACTCTGGAATTTTTGCATGGAGCTCTCTTTGGACTATACCATCTATAGTCTTTGTGCCTCCATCCAAACCAAGACTGGAAGAGCTTTGTTGTTGCTGTTCTGTATGAGCACATACCCATTTCTTACAAGACTGGAAGGAAACCAATTATATCTAGTCATAAGCTGAACACCAGGTTTGCAAATGATTTTATTTTCTTCTCCAGATTTTTTTATTTTCCCACATTTTTCATGATGACTATTATTATTACATTGCCCATCAAATTCAAAACAAGGACAGCCTTTTTAAGCCAGATTAAATTCCTGGCTCCATTTGGAATCCAGGGAATGGGAAGGGGTTTGGGAGCGGTTAGCAGGAGGGCAGCATAAGTGGAGCCTGTGCTGGAATGGGAGACCAAGACAGCCATTGAGAAAGGGCTGGGCTATGATTTAGGATGCAGTGGAGCAGAGGAGAGTGTCAGGGAGTGCGATTCATGCCTACAGCACAGTTCAGGCAGCTTCTGGGATGCTGGAAAAACTGGCTTCCTGCCGGAGACATCAGTGGTGTCACAGCAGCTGCCCCACCTGGCCCAGTGGTATTTCCTAGGGGCAAAGAGAGACAGTCAAGCCCTCTTCTTCCCCACATCCACCCTGGCCTTCCTGGTCAGGCAACTGATCCCCGCTTCCTTAAACCAATACTTGCCGAGAGTGTTGCAGATTTTAGGATCTTGCCACTGGAACACCTGAGCAGCACCTTTGAGCGGGGCCTTTGGCATCTCTTCATTCATTCATTCTTCATTCATTCATTCATTCATTCATTCAATGACTGGCTTCTGTTACGCATCTTCTATAGGCCAGGCCTGTTCTGATGTGCCCAGGTATGACTGTGGCACAATTCATTGTCCTCTGGGACCTTACGGATGATTAACAAGAAACTCTTGGCCTTCAAGATGTGATAGGCGAGGGTTCAACAATCCTGAAGCCTTCCCAGAGACCTTAAGACAAGAAGCAGCCAGACTGCTAGGCAGGACTGAGCCTGGAGCTAGCGACTGAGCCCAGCCTGCAGCCACACCAATGGCAGTCATTCCCTCCTTCTCCTGCAGGGTCCAAGTCAGTGGCTCCCATTACATGCCTGAGAGTTCTTTCCACCTTTCTTTTATATGGGCCTGCTCTGTGCAGGAAAAAATAACTGCCCTAGCCCACAGGGACTGCACAGACTTCATGGGATTCAAGAATCTCCCTAAATTGTAAAACATGCATCTGTGCATATTTCAGGGAGAGTTCAAAACTTTCTTGAGATAATCAGTACCACAACTTCAAAAAAGTTTAACGACATGGTTTCAGCCATGTGTACACCTTTGGGGATAAATGAGTAATGTACAACCCATCTGGAATAATACGACGGACTAACTCACGCTTCCACTGCACTCACTATGGCCAGATGCTATTCTAGGACTTTACAGATGTAAGTTTGCTGACTCTTCTTGACAACCCTGAGATTTAGGGGCAATTATTACCCACAGTTTACAGATGAGGACACTGAGGCAGAATTAGGTAACTTAAGTAGTGGTGGAGTCCAGATTCAACACAGACAGTCTGGCTGTCCACCACTGCTGGGATGGGAAGGGAAGAAGGTAGCATCCATTGAGGCTGATGTGGGGCTCGGAAGGTTTGAGGGTGCTGCCTCTGCCCTTCATATCAGTTTTTCTGATTAGTGATTATTGCCTCTCATTTGGCAGGTGAAAACCTGAGGTTCGGAGAGGTGGAGTGACTTGCCTGAAGTCACACATCTCAGCAGTGAGGGAGCCTGTCTGATGCCAAAGCCCAACCTCTGTCCAGAGCGTCCCAGGGGCAGGCACTAGGAACTAAAGGGCAGTGACTGTGTGCTCATGGCAGGGACAAGCTGTCCATCCCCTGGGCTGCAGCCAAGTACATACTAACCTCTGGAATCTGTAGCATCAGCCCCTAACTCACTGAAGAAGCAAGACTAAAAGAGCAAAACCCCAGACTGTAGACCATTGTAAGGGGAATGATGTATTTTCATATCCATCAGAGCAAAAGGTCATGGCCATCTTTCACTCACTCAGTCAACATCCATAGAGCATGTCTCTTGCACCACATTCTGCTCTAGTGCATGGTACAGCAGGGAGCAAAGTAGGAGCTGCTATTCTGGTGGCAGGAAAGGTCTGTCCACATGGAGAAGCAGCAGGTGCTGGGAAGGAACATGAGCTTCATGTTCAATGGCCCCAGTGCAGACTCTGACTCTGGAATCTGAGCTAACAATGTCTTCAGGCTTACATTGTCTCATTTATAAATGGGCCACGCATAGTACTCCTAGAGTGTGTAGGCAAGAGAAAGACAGAGATGAGTGAGGGAAAGCGAGAATCCACTGAGACAGTAGCTCTCACTCTGCCTGACCCACCAGCTTCCTCTCTTGTCCTGGTGTTGACCCATTTTGGACCTCAGGCCAGCTGGTTCCAGGGCTGTGCTTGTGCTTGCTCTGCCATCCCATGTGTCTCCATCGCTCAGGGATCCCAGCCCACTGTGCTGCTCAGTGGTATATATTCCACTTACCTTAAGGCCCAGCAAGGTGGAAACACACCCAGAAAGTCTGCTAGAGGATGCCTGAATGGTCATGGTCATCTCAGTCAGGACACCCAGGGCCACTTTGCTCCCTGCAGTCCTTCCCCACATGGTGTGAGAAATGGCTGCCCCAGGAGAGTATAAAGGTGCAAAGGTGCAGAGGTTTGATTACTGGGGAGAGAACAATTCCATGGCTGAAGAAGAAAAATGCAAGTTGAATTCCTGGCCAAAAGAGGTTCCTGGTCCCACCCCATGCCACCCTTGCCCTGGGATGTACTGTCCTTATGGTATGACCTATGAGATCTCAGTGGACTCTATCCTCAGAAAACACAGAGTCCAGGATTGCAAACTGGAGGCCCTGCTGCAAGGCCCCGCCCACAAGTGGGTCTTGCCTGGCCTGTAGAGAGCTGGCTGTCTCCCCACATCCCCACCATTCCCCACCGTGGCACCATGGAGTCTTCCTTAGCTGGTCTATGAAGGCGCTGGAGCTTGCTGCCCCGTATGATCCAGCCCCTCATGTTGTAGGCGGGAGGTGGATGACTGAAGCTCAGAGAGGGAGTAAATGAGCTCAACTTCACACAGCCAGTGAGGGGCCGGGTGGAGACCAGACCTTCCAAGGGGTTCCCCGGGCCCTCAGGGAGCACCAAGCACCAGGCGAACCTCCATGCACTGTACAAACATGAAGAAGTGAACCCTCTTGGGGTTCCCCAGGTGGGAAGTGGGGTGTCTTCTTGGGAGGGGGTGAAGTAACTTCTGGTGAGTTTTCCTTGTCTAGGCAGTGCTGCGCCCGTGGCCTGTTTGTTAATAATTACCTGGTTGGGAGACAGTGGGTGGTACTGAGAAGGCCTGGTTTGACCAGTCCTCCTGGGCTTGACAAGACAGAGCTGAGACAGCTACCCAGGGGGTCCACTCCAGGACAGACTGTGCCGTGAGTAACCCTCTGAGACAATGGAGACGAGAGAGCCTCTAGAGGGAGGGTGACAAACTGTTCTGTTTTGCTCAAGACTGAAAATTCTTCTAGGACATACTTTCAGTGCTAAAACCAGGAAAGTCCCAGGCAAGCTGGGACACTTGGTCACTCTTGCTAGAGGTGAGAAATACTCAGGCTAGAAAGCCCCCGATCTCAGATCTATGGGCACTGGTGGGTGACTGTGCCTGGAGACCCAGAAAAGCCTCCCCCAGGGACACACAGCTGGTACAGGGCAGCGCTGACTGGGGGCCAAGGTCTTCTGGCTCCCAATCCAGGTGATCTTGGGGAGTTCATGCCGGAGGGGAGGTGTGTCTGTGAGTGATGCGGTCCTGTGTATGTTTCTAAATGATCCCTGCAACTGCTGAGTGGAGAACAGAGAGCAGAAAGACTAGGAAGCTTTCTGCAAGGGTCTAGGTCAGGGGTCAACAAACCACAGCTTGTAGGTCAAATCTGGCCCACCGCCCATGAGCTAAGAATGCAAGATATAAAATATAAATATAAAATATAAGTGATAAGTATAGAAGGTAAATATACAAAGGGTTGAAAAATCAATAGAGGAACAACATTTTGTGACATAGGAAAATAATATGAAATTCACATTTCAGTGTCCATAAGTGAAGTTTCACTGAAACACAGCCACGCCTGTTCATGCATGTCTGAGACTGTTTCCAGCTGCCACAGCAGAGTTGAGTAGTGGCAGCAGAGACTGTGTGGTCTGCAAAACCACAGATATTACTATCTGGCGCTTTGCAGAAAAAGTTTTCCGAGCCCTGGTTGAGGATCATAGCAGTGGAGCGGGGGAGAGGCTGAAGAACCTACAGGAAAGTCTAGGAGTTGGAGACCAGCTTGGGCAGCATGGTGAGACCCTGACTCTACAAAAATTTAGCTGGGTGTGGCTGTGCACGCCTGTGGTTACAGCTACTTGGAAGGCTGAAGTGGGAGGATCACTGGAGCTCAGGAAGTCAAGGCTGCAGTGAGCCATGATTACACCATTGCACTCCAGCTTGGGTGACAGAGTGAGACCCTGTCTCAAAAACTAAAATAAAATAAAATAAACCCAACCCTGCAGGCCATGGAAGTGGATTAAATGGATTGTGGGTGGATAGAAGGCTAGAGGCTTTTTGGCCTGACAACCAGATACTGGTGGGACCATTTGATGGGGCAGGAGCAGATGTGGGGGAGAAACTGGAGCATCCTGTCTTGGACAGATGTTCATTATGAAAAGGGTACCAATTCTATCCCCGCAACTTTGTCCTGATCCTCACTTTAATAAGTGAGGACACTTATTAAACATCCATGTCCTCATCTGTACGGGGTAACAATACAAAGACCAGTTCTACTGATCTCTACAGGAGTGGGAGGGTCTAACTAAATGGCATGAAAGTGGTTTGTAAACAATATAAAGCACTCCACAGATGTTTGTGGAGCAGACACTGAAATAAACTCTGATGATTGCCATCCTCTGTGCAAAATCACTGTGCTAATGAAATCAACTCATCTGAAAGAGAAGTGTGGGAGAAGCAGCACCTGAGTCTGGGGATGTGGGTTCTGGCTAGGATATTTGTCAGGTAGGTGACTTGGGTGAGTCACTTTGGGAGTCTTTGTTTCCTGCTCTGTTGGGTGAGAATGGAGTCTAGTGCTGTGCAGAGCTCACACAAGTGGGAAGCACAATGACATGATGGATGCGAGGAGTGTGCCTTGTATGTCTAAAGCATTGCCATCCAATAGTGTTGCTGTCACCATACATGTGGAAGGTGGTGGGCGTTACATTGCCTTTCACAAGCTCATCTGCAGGAGTTGAGGGTGTCACTCACGATCTCTGGGTGCTGGCCCACTGCCCGCCTTCTCAGCAGGCCCAGGTGTTCTGCTGGGGGAATTTCCTGGGCGTTCTCTTCCCTCCCATAGGCTTGAGAGTGCAGAGGATGCATCTTATCGACTACCTGCTCCTCCTGCTGATTGGACTACTGGCCCTTTCTCATGGCCAGCTGCACGTTGAGCATGATGGTGAGAGTTGCAGTAACAGCTCCCACCAGCAGATTCTGGAGACAGGTGAGGGCTCCCCCAGCCTCAAGATCGCCCCTGCCAATGCTGACTTTGCCTTCCGCTTCTACTACCTGATCGCTTCGGAGACCCCGGGGAAGAACATCTTTTTCTCCCCCCTGAGCATCTCGGCCGCCTACGCTATGCTTTCCCTGGGGGCCTGCTCACACAGCCGCAGTCAGATCCTCGAGGGCCTGGGCTTCAACCTCACGGAGCTGTCTGAGTCCGACATCCACAGGGGCTTCCAGCACCTCCTGCACACTATCAGCCTCCCCGGTCATGGGCTGGAAACACGTGTGGGCAGTGCTCTGTTCCTGAGCCACAACCTGAAGTTCCTTGCAAAATTCCTGAATGACACCACGGCCTTCTATGAGGCCAAACTCTTCCACACCAACTTCTACGACACTGTGGGCACAATCCAGCTTATCAACGACCACGTCAAGAAGGAAACTCGAGGGAAGATTGTGGATTTGGTCAGTGAGCTCAAGAAGGACGTCTTGATGGTGCTGGTGAATTACATTTACTTCAAAGGTGAGAGTCAGATCATTGGTGTGTGCTAAATCCACACCCCTACCTCCAACCCCCTAATTTGTTAACTGGTTAAATATATTTTTACAAAAGGGTAAGTAAAAAGGTTGTGTTTGATAGAGTTAAGCAGCCCTCAGAAAATGCAATGTTAGAATGTTGTATGTTGAAGACTCTGTAGTATTGAGGTTTCCATTCCTTCCTATCTTTAGACATATTTTCTTATTTATTTTCTTAATAAAAGTAATGTACAAAATGCATTCTAGCCAGTGATCATGAGTTGAATTGCTGGATTCATATCTGAGCTCAGCCTCTACCAACAGTGCAAACAGGTCAGCTTGTTTGCTCAAAGCAGGGATAAGACGAATCTCTACTTCAAAAGTTGGCTTTGAGGATCAAATGATTAACCCATGTGTATACTCCTTATAAAAGGATCTAAAGAGATGGACAAACTACAGCTCCTGGGCCAAATGTGTTCAGCCACTGGTTTTGCAAATAAAGTTTTATTGGCACACAGCCAGGCCCATTCATTTATGTATTGTCTGTGGCTGATTTTGTGCTACAATGGCAGATTGATTCATTACTGCAGAGATGGAATGATCTGCAGTGCCTAAAACAGTTAATATCTCTATAAACTTTTTTGTTTGTTGACCCCTGACCATTTTATGTACTCAGTAAATAGCAACTATAATTCATGTAATGATAACAATGCTCATTTTGAAGCTTTACAAATACGTAAAACCATAAAGGAGAAAGTAGACATAATCTCTAGTCCTACCACTCAGAGGCAACAAATGTTAATGTTTTAGCATCTTTTCTTCACCTTCCATTCACACACATATATGTCCACACAGTTGATATCACAGTGTGCGAACAATTTTGTACAGTGTGGATTAGTCAGGGTTTCATCAGAGAAGGAGAGCCATCTCAAGTCAATGGTAAGGAGATTGTTCTAGGAATTAGGCCCCACACAACTGTGGCTGGGAAAGTGAAGGTCTAGAGGAAAGAAGAGTTGGGAGGACAGAGAGAAAGTTGCCGATGCAAGCGGACAAGTCAGAGCTTGTAGGGGAATCTATATGCCAGGCTCATCCAGCCATCAGAGTGCCGCCATGGAGGGGAGCATCACTGCGTAGTTTCTGGTGGTAGCCTGGGGCTGCTGTTGTTTAGTGGGGTTAGAGTTGGGAAAAGGAGCTTGGAAACAAGCAGGGGCAAACTGGAGCACACAAAGCACTGCTGAGTCTGACCATCGTCATATCTGACCACCAGGGCCTTCAGAGAGCAATTTACTTTGAAATCTCACAGTTCTAACCAGCTTGAACCCAGAATTTACAGGGAATAAAATTCTAGGGAGCAACTCCCAGCCTAATGATTCAGCCAAATTAGTTATTCCATGTAATTTGCATGTGGAATTTTCATGCACTATTGAAAACTTTTTTTAAAAAACTTTGTTTTGAGGCTGGGCGTAGTGGCTCACACCTATAATTCTAGCACTTTGGGAGGCCAAGGCAGGCGTATCTTAAAATCAGGAGTTCAAGACCAGCCTGGCCAGCATGGCAAAACCCTGTCTCTACTAATAATACAAAAAAAAAAAAAAATTAGCCAGGCTTCATGGCACATGCCTGTAATCCCAGCTACTCAGGAGGCTGAGGCAGGAGAATCGCTTGAACCCAGGAAGTGGAGGTTGCTGAGATTGCGACACTGCACTCTGGCCTGGGCGACAGAAAGAGACTCCATCTCCAAAAAAGAAACTTTGCTTTGAAATAACAAAACTTTTAAACTTAAAAAAAAAATTAACTAAGGAAGGAAGAGAAACAGTAGTACGGGTTTCACTGTCAGGAAGACATTGATTATAATCCCAGATCCCTTGCTTTTCCCTGGACGAAAATTCCTGGCATGGAGACCTCAGTCCATTCACCCTACCTGCCACCACCTCATTGCACATCGCCTGCTGTCCTTGCTTCCCTCCTCACACTGCATGGCCATCATTGTGGTCACTTCCTTGCAAACACTCTGAAGTCTTAACTTCCTTGGTTTTCCTTCCCTCTATCATACTTACCCTCCAAAACTGCAAACCTGCTTAAACCTAAAGGTCTAACTCGTCTACATCTGCACCCAGCAGCTGAATGTGGTTGAAGAAAAACATCCAACTAGACTGATGGTCTCACTTGATATTTGTGAATGTAAATCTTCATTGATCTCTCTACACTGTCCAACAATCCCACTTACATATCTTACATATCTCCACTCTCCAAAACTACTAAAATAACAGATTCATCCTTCTCAAATGTCCTCCCCACTCACGACTTTCACTGAAAAATCTTGTCTCACTCGTCATTGAGAAAATAGAATCAGTTAAACAGGAAATCTCTCATCCTCTCATCTCTAAATCTACTCACCTCCAAATCTTCTCACCTCCAAATCTACTCACCTCCCTGCATTTGAACCCACAAGCTCAGACGTCCTCCTCTCATCATGGCAGTAGTGACCCACCTCTCAGGGAAGGCCAACCCCTCTGCTCACACTCTGCTATCTCCTCTCTCCTTCTCAAGGATGCTTACCTAACAATGAACCCCTCTTTCCAGCATCCCTGGTTTCTTCTCTATCAATCCTATTCACATATTAGAAAATGAACATCCTCTGCTATCTCTCATTTTAAAATTTAAATGAGGCCTAAGGGATCCATTCCCCAGGCATGTCAGGTTTTGAATGGTCAAAATGGGACACCTTGATGAGCTCATAGGGCAGGATCTGGAGCTACTCTTTCAGTAGCTCGGAACACCAGGTGGCCTTCCCTGGCTGGAGGACTGACTCTGTGGCCCACAGATGTCCTGTACCTTCTTTTCATCTTCCCTTCAGCCCTGTGGGAGAAACCATTCATTTCCTCGAGGACCACTCCCAAAGACTTCTATGTTGATGAGAATACAACAGTCCAGGTGCCCATGATGCTGCAGGACCAGGAGCACCACTGGTATCTTCATGACAGATACTTGCCCTGCTCAGTGCTACGGATGGATTACAAAGGAGACGCAACTGTGTTTTTCATTCTCCCTAACGAAGGCAAAATGAGGGAGATTGAAGAGGTTTTGACTCCAGAGATGCTAATGAGGTGGAACAACTTGTTGCAGAAGAGGTAATCAGTGTGCTATGGGGGCTGAATCTACAGTACTATCCATCAAATATACCTTTCTAATGAAAGACAGTGCCCCAAAATAGGGAGTGATTGCCAATTATGAGAGAATTCTCACTTGCTCTGAGACCTTCCATGGGCTTCCGTTAAATGATGAACTCTCCTATTATATTTAAAATATGACTTCTCCCTCGTTAGGGAAAAAAGAACCACAGTAGGAGTTCAGAGTCCTGGTTCTAGACATAGCTCTTCCACTGCACAAGACTTGGGTCAAGTGACTCTGACTCTTGGGGGGTTACCTCTGTGCAATGAAGAGGTAGCCCCTCTGGCCCAGAAGGTTGACTAAGCTGCCATGGCGCGATTCAAAATAACTCCATCCACCCACCCAAGGAATTAACAGGAAGGCTTCCCATCATGCTGGCTATGATTGGAAAAAGTCTTCAACCATATATAAGAAAAGCATCCTAGCCCAAGGGCACATGTGAATAGAAAAATCACACAACTTTCATGGTAGAGGGAATCCAATACAAAGAAATTAGCTGGTTCACAAAGAATAAAACCCACAGGGCTGTAACAGAGGCAAGGGCAAAACTGCCACCTGGCGGGACTTACATCTGTCTCCCTGGGCACCTGAACACCCACAGAAAACAACCTCTGAAGAGGGGGCTACCACGGACAGGAGATCCCACAGACGGCAGGCCCTGAGGACAAAGGAACCTGGCCTTTCAACACCCGTTTGTGGGAGGTAGTCTGAGCCAAAGCTGTTTGTGGGGATAGAACTCAGATGGAATACAGCCAGCTAAAGAGGGCCACCAAGGAGGGCTGTGCCCAGCAGGGATCCTGGCTTGTTCATTAATCTAATGTTTTAACCCAATGCCCCTTTTCAGGAATTTTTACAAGAAGCTAGAGTTGCATTTCCCCAAGTTCTCCATTTCTGGCTCCTATGTATTAGATCAGATTTTGCCCAGGCTGGGCTTCGTGGATCTGTTCTCCAAGTGGGCTGACTTATCTGGCATCACCAAACAGCGAAAACTGGAGGCATCCAAAGTAAGTCATCAACCCCTAGAGAACTCGGTGGGGCACTTGTGCCCATGGGAGTTGCCGGGTGATGGGGCTCCCAAGCTGCCCCATGGAGTCTCAGAGCCTGAGTGTGTTCAGTCATCTACAGACATCAGCATCCACCAATTAGCCAGCCCTGGACGTGGTGCTCGGTGCTGGGATATAGTGTCAAATCAGCCCCCCAACTCAGACAGCTCTCCCAGACGAGTCAGAGATACAACGTCTTCATAGAGAGATACATGCAATGATAGAAAATGGAGGCAGGGCCGGGCGTGATAACTCACACCTGTAATCCCAGCACTTTGGGAGGCAGAGGCGAGCAGATCACTTGAGGTCAGGAGTTCGAGACCAGTCTGGCCAAAATGGTGAAACTCCAACCCTACTAAAATACAAAAATTAGCCTGGTGTGGTGGCAGGTGGTGGGCACCTGTAATCCCAGCTACTCAGGAGGCTGAGGTAGGAGAATCACTTGAGGCTGGGAGGTGGAGGTTGCAATGTGTCCAGAGATCAGGCCACTGCACTGCAGCCTGGGTGACAGAGTGAATGAGACTCCATCTCAAAAAATAATAATAATAATAAATAAAGAAAAAAAAGGAGGAAACAGAGAGGAGAGACACAGCTGAGGCTGCATTGGGTGCATCTGTATGAGGGAGACTTCATAGATGAGAGAAAGAGACTCAAGACTTCTGCTAAGGCCGGGCGCGGTGGCTCAAGCCTGTAATCCCAGCACTTTGGGAGGCCGAGACAGGCGGATCACGAGGTCAGGAGATCGAGACCATCCTGGCTAACACGGTGAAATCCCGTCTCTACTAAAAAATAGAAAAAACTAGCCGGGTGAGGTGGTGGGCGCCTGTAGTCCCAGCTGCTCGGGAGGCTGAGGCAGGAGAATGGCGGGAACCCGGGAGGCGGAGCTTGCAGTGAGCTAAGATCCGGCCACTGCACTCCAGCCTGGGCAACAGAGCGAGACTCCGTCTCAAAAAAAAAAAAAAAAAAAAAAGACTTCTGCTAAGAAAAGTGCGCGAGGGGGTATAGAGCCTTGGGTTTGAGCTGAATTCTGGTTCTTCCTCTTATGTTATTGAAGGGGTACTAGTTTCTGAATTTATATTCCTCACTTTTAAAATGGGCATCATACTGCTGACCTCATAGGATGGCTATGAAGATCAAATAAGATGCATGCAAAGCCCCGAGCACAGAGCAAGCATTCATTTAATGAGAGCTGCTGTGACTGTGTGTGGCAGGAGGTCTCCAGCTCAAAAATCCTCCCAAATGAAATTCTTACTGTGTTATCCCCAAGAAGTGACCTCGCAGGCTATAAAGGGCAATGTATTCCCTAGCAGTTTCTGACTCTCGCAGTCTTGTCCAGGCCCCCTCCCGTGCTGGCTTGGAGATAATGCTTGTGATTTTCCTCCCAGAGTTTCCACAAGGCCACCTTGGATGTGGATGAGGCTGGCACCGAGGCTGCAGCAGCCACCGGCTTTGCGGTCAAATTCTTCTCTGCCCAGACCAATCGCCATGTCCTGCGGTTCAACCGGCCCTTCCTTGTGGTGATCTTTTCCACCAGCACCCAGAGTGTCCTCTTTCTGGGCAAGGTCGTCGACCCCACAAAACCATAGCCCTCCCAGGGCTGCTCATCTGTTCCGAGCAGGAGGATGCGGCAGGGGAGGGCTGGGTGTGAGTAGTTCTGTGTTTAGAGTAGGGGACGAGGAAGACGCCGAATGTCCAGGAGTCCAGGACAGCAGGTGCTGGCCCGTGGGGAGTGGGGAGCGGCACTGAGATGGGCAGGGCCTGGACATTCCACACCCTGGCGCTGTGCAGCCTCTGGCAGAGCATCCAACCTATTGGAGCAAGTTTCTGCCTCTGGAAAGGGGGCGGGCCCTTTCTACAACAGGGTGGTTGTTCCGAGTAAACAACACGATGCCACGAAGACCCTGGTTCAGTGTCTCGTATGTGGTAGACACTCAATAAATGCATCCTCTGCCTGCCCCTCCGGGGTTTGCCCCAGACTCCCCTGGCAGACCTGGTCCCAGACACAAGGTATGAGGAGCTCCAAGTCCCACTCCAGCAGGTTACCCAGGTTTATGGGAAGGGGACAGGGTGTGGGCAGTCAGCTGCCTCAGGCAGGGCTAGTAGCTTGCTCCAGAGCAGGGGCTGAGAAAGCCACGGAAGGGCAGACACCACCAGGGCAGCTTCCACAGGGACCTGGTCAGAAGAACCCAGTGAGGCACTGCCCCCTCCTGTGGCTACGGAGATGTGGCCCGTGGCTCTCCCAGGACAGTGGCTGTGGCCACAGAGCACATTGCAGACCCAGAGGCTCTCGCTTTTGCATCCAGGCTCTGTGCTCTGGATCTTCGGGCAAATCCTCGCCCTATTGGCCCTCAGTTTCCCCACCTTTCTGACCCAGGTGGTCCAGCTCAGACTGGTTGAGTATGTGGAGTGGACCCACCCAGAGTCTGTGAGAATAAACCACCCCTTCCACAGGGCAAGGCAGGTGAATGGGATGTGGTTCTGTTTGCTCTGAGCCTCGGTGATGTCTGGCAAATGCATTTCTCTGGGCCGGACCCTGTGGTTTTCTTGGTGGCCAGGACATCAGAGGCAGCTGGGTTCCAGCACCGTCTCCAGCCCTTGACCATGGACACGGAGTTCCCGGGACAGTAAGAGCTGGGAACGACCCAGCCAGGAAGAACGTCTCCTTTCCTTTTCCTCGGCCCAGCTCACCCTGTGCCTTCAGGGCCAGCACAACAGTTCCCACACGCTCTCCTATCAGCGCTGATCCTCCTGCCAGGCAGGCCATTTCACTCCCACTCGGTGGCGTCCAGGTTGCCAGCATGTTCAAAACCAGAATTCCTGGGTTCAAGTCCCAGCTGTGCTCCTTAGAAGCTGTGTGATCCTGGGGAAGTCATTTCACATCTCTGGGCCTCAGTATATTCATCTATAAACTGGGATGATGATAACACTACTGACCTCATAGGGCTATTGGGAGGATTAAACAGTGACTGTATATGTCAAGTCTCACAACAGTGCTATGCAAACATTAGCTATATTATTATTACCCTCATTCCAGCAGCCCTGACAGTCAGTGCTGCCGCCACAGGCTCTGAGCTGGGGGTCTCTCCACAAAATCCCACTGCCATCTGGGGCCTCTAAACCTTTTTCATGTTGCCACTTTCGCTACTCAGGAAAATTGACACTGAATCCTCACAAGGGGAAGTTCCCAAAAGGCAGAAGATTTATAGGCCCTTCTCACCACAGTGGTGCCTGAAATTCCTAACTGAGCTTCCAGAAGTTTTTCTAAATAAGCGTTCAGCTCTCAGCTCTCCTCTCTTGGTAGATCTAGTGGGGGCTGAATCTTCCCCCAGAGTCTGTCCTGGACTGAAAGATTGGGCGCTGTTACTTTAGGAACAGCTCAAAGAATCTTCTAGGCTTTGGGGATCGTGGCTGCTTGCCATGTGCACTCTAGGGCACTTGCTCAGTGTCCAGGAGGCCCAGGGCCGATACTGAAAACTCAGCCATGGACTTTAGAACAAGACCCAGCTGGCCCAGGCTCTTGGCTCTGGCAAGCGGGATGTCTTACTGTCACAAACCCAGAATTTTCACCAAGGAGAAGGTGACCAGGGGAACAGGCCGGAGAGCTGCCTCCAGTGTTGATTGTTTAAGAGTCAAAATATTCCAGTAATTGTGTGACATGGGGTTCCCTGGCCCAAATAGTGCTGCAACCACAGGAATAGGCTCGCTGCCAGGAAACCAGGAAACCGATATTTGGAGCAATAGACAGACTACTCTTGTATTGTGGAAAAGTCCTTGCAGAAGAGAGGAAGATGGAATGGGAAAGCCCAAAGGGGTTCCTCTCCCTTCCTGCCCCTAAAACACAGCCCTGAGCTCGACATGAGTGCAGCGTCAGGAGAACTTGACGAGGAAATGTTCTGTAAAGGAAATTGCCTGGCGAGGCCATTTTGAGTTAGTTATACCAGCTCTGGGCTTCACTCAGGAGAAGCTGTCCAGTAAGTGCCTGAGGGCACCCAAGGCCTCTGGGGCTCAGGGGAATGCACGCCTTCGTTTCTACCCCTTGATTTTATTGGCTGAAAAGCAAACCTGCTAGCTCAAAGAGTGATTCATTTCCCCCTGTGCCTTCTGGGAAGTTGGATTCTGTTTTTCAACAATCAGGCAAGAAATAAAGTAAGGCCCAGGCTGACTCGCTCCCTCCTCTGCCCCCACAGAGGCAGGTGGGTGAGCGAATTCCAGAGGGGAAGACAAGCCTGAAAGAAGGCCAAGGTCTAGGGTTACTATGGCAACAGCATGGCAGGGGGTGGTGATGTTGAATGACCGCAGCCCTGATGTGATGAAGGAGAGAGAAAGGAAGCAAGTCATCTTCGACTCAGCCTTGAGAGTGAAGCCTCCTTATTCTGATTAATCTCAACCCTCCACTACTCAAAAATAGCCGATGGCTCCGTATTGCCTACAAAATAAGGTTCAAAGCCTCTATCTACAGTCAAGGCCCTCCCTGATCTGGTCACCTCCTGCCTGTTCTGCCTCAGTTCCTCCTCTTGCTCTCATGTACCCAGTGGCTGCAGTCACAGAAAGTCTTGTTTTGCCAGGTTTCCCATAGCGTCCCACCTCTAAGAATCTGCACTCTCTCAAGATCTCACAGAAACCCCTCAGCTCCCTAAGGCAGACTGTCATCCCACCATCAGAATGGTTGACCTGATAAGAATGCCTGCCCCCACCCCCACCGTCCCTATTAGACATTTCAAAGGTGGGGCCCTGTTCACCCTGCATTCCCTCAGCCCACCTGGCCTCAGTGCCAACTGGATATGAGAGAGGCCCAACTGGTATTTGTTGCATGAACGAATGAATAAATGAATGAATGGATAGAAAAGGTTGAGCCAGGAGCAAGGTCACCGACTATTTGTTCTGCATCACCACCCCTTGACATGGCCCTGGAATTGATTGGACAAATATTTAGTTCAGCTCCTCAGATTTCAAAACGCTCTTTTGGAGCGTTAAAAAAAAATAAAAATTAAAAAGACTTCATGCGGGAGATCTTGCCTCTTTAGAGCAGTGCCTGAGTCCAGTTTTCCCATTGCTGCTCACCTGTGGGGGCTCTCATTTGTGTAGCCCTTGTTACACCACTAGAGAGGTATATGTCTCAATAGCAGCAGTGAGCGTTCGGAGGAACCCTGCATGTTTGTGAGTTCAGAAGTTATCTTCCAGCAGAAAAACAAGGTCTTTCTGTACTTTGCAACTGGGGGAAAGGGCAGAGAAAGCCAATGTGAGTGGCAGTGATATAGCCTAGTGGAAGGTGACAAGTTTGCGTGACTACAGTAAATCGGTGTGTAGAGAAATGCAGCATGGGTTTATTCAGTTTTTCATTCTTTCATTCAACAGCTAGTTACAGAGTGGGCTTTGGCCGTGTTTGAGATAGGAGAAAACAAACTTTTTCCAAGTTCTCAACACTACAGTTCACCTCTGGTCACCAAAATGTGTATGGAATTTCTCCAACCACCAAATTGTCCAGCGGACACTAACTGGGTGTCCTGCAGTTCAATTCAATTCAATTCCAACACTTTATACCTGGAGATAACATCAGATCCCATCCGTTTAGGGCTCTGTCGCACTAGACTGCCCCCACTTCAGATGCCAGTTGCAAGTAGTAGGCTGTCACCTATACTTTATGACCAACTGGCTATAAAGCGAGGTTCCCACAACTCCCTCCTCAGGTTCAGTTCATTAGCTAGGAGGGCTCACAGAACTCAGGGAAATACTTATGCTTAATGGTCTATTTTATTAATAAAGCATACATATGAACAGCCAGATAAATGAGAGTCAGAGGGCCAGGTATGGGGTACTGGGCACAAAGCTTCCATGTCCTCTCCCAGTGTACCACCTTCCAGGAGCCTCCATGCTTTCAGCTGTCCCAAAGTGCCTAAACCCTGCCCTTTTTGGGGTTTTTATGGAGGTTTCATTACATAGGCATGATTGATTACATCATTGGCCACTGGTGATCAACTCAACCTGCAGCTTCTCCCCCATCTAGGGAGGTCATGAGGAGGGGAGTGGGCTGAAAGCTTCAACCCTCTAATTCCATGGTTGGTTTCCCTGGTAACCAGATTCCTTATGAGCCTACCCAGGAGCCCACCAAGACTTGCTTCACTAGAACAAAAGATGTTCCTATCACCCTAGAAACTGCAAGGGATCCAGGAGCTCTTCATCAGATGCTCTTGTCACTCTGGAAATTACTAAGCTCTTGGGAATCAGGTCAAAGACCAAATACTAAACAAACAATTCTCTTAGTATCCCTATCTACAAGGGTGCTAGAAGCACTGTCTCAGGAACTCGAACCAGAGACTAAATGTATATTTCTTATTATTAATATGTCACTGTTTCACAGGCTGCTAGCCAGGAAGCCAGAGGGACCTCCCCAGTGTAAAATTTGGATTCAGACAAGGCTGCGGTCTCAACTTCTTCACTAACAGTACACTGTGGGGCAATTGCTTTACCTGTTTGGGTCTTAATTTCCTAACCTGTACATGGTGGTGTCCTCTGGGCACAGCGACCCACTGCAGCTGTGGCAGTGGAAATGGGAGGATGGACATGGGATCCGCTGAAGACACAGACCTGGGAGTCCTTGGCTTCTGACTCCATGGAACAGGTGAAGGGCACACGGGTCTGCTTCATCCCTGACTGCCTACGAGCAGGCCATTCTCGAAGAAGAGGCAGAACTAATATGAACAGCTCCCGTGCTCTGAGCACCTGCAATGGGCAAGGCATGGTGCCGAGTGCTTGCCAGGAGGTATCAAGAGGCCACAAACATCCAAGTATAGAACCTGGACTTTGGAGCCAGGATGCTTAAATCTAAATCTGAAATCCAGCAATTACTGAGTGTATTTGTTTGCTAGTGCTGCTCTAAGGAAGGACCACAAAAGGTGTGG